GGATGGGTGGCTGCTACACAAAGATCGCCTTCGTGTTTTCTTTAAGCCTGACTGTTGACAACGTTCTAGGCTCTAGTAGGAAGATTTCGTTCAATCTTAAGCTCCCAGGGAATACATGATTACCGACTTTTTATGAAAGGGGTCTGCTGAATGAGTTAGGTCAAATAATGATTCAGATGAAACATAAATCGAAAAGGGTGGACGGCGGCAAGTTTGGACAACCATTAAACGAATTCAACAGTATGGTGACAAAATGCAAACAACTGAGTCCTAGTTACCACACAACACATACCAGTGATGGGAAGTACTGACTCGTCCTGAGTTTGTAATCGCCAACGAAGCACGCCGACTTCTTGGCCAACAGGGAACGGTTTTCCACCGGGTTTTACTTGAAGCCAGTTTGTTTGCTAGGGGATGATAAACGGAAAGCTTATTATCACGTTAATGACAACAAAAGAACAGACCACGGAAGAAACAGACGGGAAAAGTGACTTAGTATTGGTTATCTTGTAATCGGGAATTTATAATTGTGCTTTTCAGACCAACGGTGAACACGTTCACATGTCACGCTAACCATCATATGAGCCGTTTTGACTAAAGTAACAAGACAAGCTAGTGTTTTTTTTCATTGTCCGAAATTAAGTTTGTTCTTAAACTACGTCAGCATCTTTGAAAGCTACAAGAATCGACTATTGTCATTTCAGCTCCTCGCGTCGTAGCTCATTTTATCCTTTCTTATTCAACTCAAACTGATATGCGGAAAATACCGCCCCCCCCCCTCCTCTGCAAATTTCCCAAAGCAACCCACCCCAGTTGTAGATATAGACGCTGCGTTCTGACAACTGACACTGAGATCCGGCTACAAAGCTGACAGACGAGTGCTGTTTCCGTTTCGGCGGATAATCGCATGAGACAAATTTGTTTATTTCGAAAATTATTTGGATGTGAGGGCACAGTGAAATGAGACCTCCAGGTGCAATGGTAAGGACTACTGGGGCGATCAATATGCTTCCGATGGTATGACTGTGTAAACAGCCCCCATGTATGGCAGAACTGGATACTGGGTCAAGAGTTCCTCATATGCATCGCTGTGGAACAAAGGTAAAATCACACGAACAAAAAGATGTCTGTTTAACAAACCCGCAGTCAAATGGTCGGGGGTTATTTCTTTAATCAAACGGCTTTTCTCTTTGCATACTTTGTTACAGATATTAGGCAAATAAGTTGTGCACTCATTTAAATGGCTCGATGGATAGATACAGATGTGGAAAACGGAGTTCCCAGGCCATCTAACATTGAGTACCTGTGGTCATAATCCCTGAGTCTGCAGTTCAAGTAACACACATTGAGTTCTTTACATTTACCCCAAAAATGGATATTTCTTAATTCCACAGAGAGATGACTATTATTTTTTTAATCAATTAGATCGATGACTGAACTGCGACGGTATGACCTAATTAACGCAAAAACGCACACTCAACAAGTGGTAAAATACCACTTTGTAAATCAGAGGATTAGTTACAGCACATAAAAATCAAAGTAACCTTAGGTACGACTGAAGTGGTCTGGCGATCTAAGTCAGTCACTATCACTGGAACGCTTCGGGTTCTAGAATGTCAGGTTTGAACACTCCCACTACCACACAAATTTGGTAGTAGGTGGCTTCACTGATGTTCAGCTCAGAACAGAT